GGAAGAAAGATGTCCAGAATGGTCACCAAAGTGCTAAAAGGAATGATCCATGAATGCTGATGTCTATTGGAATATTTACTCCTTTTTTATACCTGTCTATATTGACTAATCTGCATGAACATATGTCACTTAAATGAAGAAGTCTTTTTTTTTTTTTTAGGAATAACATGTTTTACTTTTTATAAAATGTTTTATTAACATATAACGTATTATTTGTTTCAGAGGTACAGGTCTGTGATTCATCACACAATTCACAGCGCTCACCATAGCACATACCCTCCCCAGTGTCTATCACCCAGCCACCCCATCCCTACCAGCCCCCTCCACTCCAACAACCCTCAGTTGAAGAAGTCATTTTGATTCTGCTTCTCCTTTTTCCTTGTCTCTGAGTCACCAAGTCCTTTTTCCCTGCAGCACATTCCTATTTATCTCTCTTCCCCTTTTAGCTCACTTTTGAGCTTCAGATTCTTCTACCCAAGTGCCTTCTACAGATCTCCACTTGGATGTCCCTCAGACACACAAACTCAACCTGCCCCAACCTGAACATATTAATTTCCCCCCAACCTGCTTCCATTTCAGTTCCCCCTTCTCACTCAGCAGCTCCACATCCCATCTATCCAATCATTCAAAACAGAAATATGGGGCACCACTCTTGACCCTAGCCTTCCACCTCCAACCCAGTACTCTCCTGCTGACCTTACGAAAATACCCGGCAACCCACTTCCTTCCACCTCAACGGCCTCTATGCCAACCATTCTCTTCATTCATTGAACAAATATCTATTGAGTACCTCCTGGGTGCCAGGCCCTGGGCTAAGAGCCGGCATATGATAAAGGTAAGACACACAAGGCTCCTGTTCTCATGAATGGAGCCTTGTGTTCTAGAGAAAGTATGGACAATAAACAAGTAAGGAAAACGATGACCTAAGGTGGTAAATTCTCTGAAGAAACGAAACCGAGTGTGTGGTAAAGAAGGGCCAGCACAGGGAGGGGCTGTTACCCTTTAGATGGCTTGGCAAGGGAAGGCCTCCCTCAGCCTGAGGAGAGATCCAACCTGGCGTGTAGAGTGTTCCCTTCTTCCCGGAGGGACTCTCGCCTTCACTCCTTTTCTCCCTTCAGACAGTGAGGGTGATCCAAGTACAAGCAAACTGATCACACCGGATCCCCCGCTCGAAACCCAAGTGGGCTACACTTGTCACTAACATGGCTCCTGTGGCCTTTTTCAGCTTCATTTCTCTCTCTACACCCTCTGCTCCAGCCAAGCAGAACCTTCCTTCCCTGAATGCTCTTCCTCCACCCCCAGGCACCATTTGGGGATGCCCTGGATTCCACTTCCTCCAGGAAGCCTTTGGGGTTAGGCCTCTCCAGTAGATCTGTTGTCCACTGAACACTGTTACCACAGAGCATAGTCACTGGTGATTTATTACTGGTCTTACCCCACCCTGAATACCCCCTGTCTGGCACATCACACACTCAGTCAAGACACAGTTGACCTCTGAATGATGCAAGGACTAGGGGTGCCAGGCCCCCATACAGTCAGAAATTGGGGTATAACTTGATTCCCCAAGGCTTAACTACTAATAGCCTGCTGTGGACTAGAAGCCTTCCCAATAAGATAAACAGCTGATCAACACATCTGTGTAAGTTATATGTATTATTACTGTGTTCTTACAATAAAGTCAGCTACAGGAAAGAACAACCCGTGTTGTTCAAGGGTCAACTGTATCTGAAAACTGCCTCCCCCCCCAGCACCAGCCCTCACCATTTCTCACCTCAGCTGCTACCTCCAAATGGGTTTCCCCACTTTCAACTTTTTCCTCACAAAAATCCACCTGTTAGAAAAATCTTGCTATGGGGCGCCTGGGTGGCTCAGTTGGTTAAGCGACTGCCTTCGGCTCAGGACATGATCCTGGAGTCCCTGGATCGAGTCCCGCATCGGGCTCCCTGCTCAGCGGGGAGTCTGCTTCTCCCTCTGACACTCCCCGCCTCATGCTCTCTCTATCTCATTCTCTCTCTCAATAAATAAAATCTTAAAAAAAAAAAGAAAAAGAAAAAGAAAAATCTTGCTAAAATGCCTGACAAAATCAGAACAGTCAACTCAAACTACTGGTGTCCCTGGGATGTAGGTGAGGGAGGTAAGGACGTGTCAGGCTTGGAGGGCCGTGTTTAGTGATATGGAATCCATGTCACCGGGCAAGGACAAAGCTTCCATGGCTGGAGGGGGAGGGAGGGGTTATGTCAGGCCTACTCCAAGGCAGAGAACAATGTTGGGGCAGAGGTAGGTCCTCTGGGGGAAATCAGAGGTTGCAAAGCAGGCCTCAGACAAGCAGAAGAGCAAAATGCTGAATCCCCGCTATCTGCTCTCTTGCTCCCCAACTTTGAGGAGTCTCAGGAACAGATAGGGTGTCGCTGGCTCTCAAGACCACAGGGGATATAGCTGGGGAGGCCACCCTCCTCCCCAGCTATATAGGGAGATGGTGTTTGTCATAAAGAGGTAACACAGGGAGCTGGGCAGACTAGAGTCCCAGATCATGAGGTTGTATGTTTATTATTCACTCACTTATTTGTCCAATAGACATTTCCTGAGGCCCTGCCATTTGCCAGACTCTGTGCTGGGTTCTGGAAATACAGTAGCCAGCAAAGCAGATCAAGTGCTTCCTTTGCTGGAGCTTCCAAGGTGATGGAGGTTCTCAGAAAAACAAATATACAACTAGACATGCTTCAGAGGGTAATAAGGATGATGAATGAAACTAAGTAAGGTTTAGAGTCAGAGGGTGCTGTAATATACAGGGTGGTCAGTAAATTCTTTTTTTTTTTAAAGATTTTTTTTTTTTAATTTATTTATTTGACAGAGAGATAGAGAGCACAAGTAGTCAGAGCAGCAGGCAGAGGGAAAGGGAGAAGCAGGCTCTCCGCTGAGCAGGGAGCCCGATGCGGGGCTTGATCCCAGGACCCTGGAATCATGACCTGAGCCGAAGGCAGCCGCTTAACTGACTGAGCCACCCAGGCGCCCCGGGTGGTCAGTAAATTCTTACGGGGTTGGGGTGGTCAGTAACCATATCTATTTTTCCTGTATTATCCTCAGCTCTTATAAAGTCTGTTTTAAACTAGCACTTCTCAAACTTTGATGTGCAGTCACCCAGGGGTTTGGTTAAAATGCAGATTTTAGGCCAGTGGGTTTGGGGTGGGGGACTGAGACTCTGCATTTCTAATTGGCTCCCAGGTGACACCTTGGCTGTTGGTCCCTGGACCACATGGCTCTGCTATGGGGGATTGAGGGAAAAGCTGTGAGTTCCTCCTGGGGAAGAGTTAACAGGGGACCATGTCTCCTGAGGGCAGTGGGCAAGGCAGTGATGACAGCCTTAAGGGACAGCAAACGTCAGCTGCCGAAGTAACTCTGCCAGTCTTCTGCCCTTCCCAGCTTGCAGACTTCATCTATAACCCACTGTGAATGATCTGATCTGGGTCTGAAACCAGCAAGTAAGTCATGGAGTTCCCTTATAGCTTCCCCATTTTAGAGAATAGATCCCCAATGCATAGTGTGTTACAAAATTTGTCATAACTCAGCTCTGCCTTCCTACAAGCCTTCATGAACCCTGGATTTCTGCCAGGATCATAGTGAATATCCACGACCACTCCCCAACAATTTTTTTCACCTCAAGTAATTTGGTATTCCTGTTTCCTCCATGGAGAATTCTCATTTCCCCTCATGGCCACGTGGAATCTCATCCATCCTCTGAGGTCCAGCTCACAATAGCCATGCCACACCCCCAACTCCAATCAGCTTTGCCCACCCTCCCTGTCAGAAGCAATTCCTTGCTCCTAGAAATCCTACAAAACTTCACTCGAACCTCTTTGGGGACAGTAATCTCTTCCCATCCTCTATGAGTTATTTTATCCTTGTTATACTTTCTTCCCAGGATGTGAACTCCCAGAGTATACCTCTAACTGCCTCTTTACCCATGAGTAGCACAGTTCCCAGTATGTGATCATGGCCTACGAATCGTCTATAAATGAAAAATATTAATGACTTGGATTTGAAATCACCAAAGGGCAATGGGGGGAGAGTCTGGGGGAGGAAAGTGCTAGCCCAGAGGTTCTCAAAGCTTGTGCATCAGCTCCTCCTGGTAACTAGTCAGACTTGCAAATAGGTAGTCAGGCACTATCCCTGATGTCAGGAATTAGAAACCCTGGCTGGGGGCAGAGCCCAACTGTCTATCTGCTTTTTAACTAGCCTTCATTGATTGTGATGCACGCTGCAGTTTGAGAACCGTCAAGTCAAGCGTGAGGTACACTCAGCACCCTTCAGCTGTCCTCTTCTAATGCCCACGGCCTTCACCTGGGCCCTGGGGCTTCTGCCAGGGAGCGAGGAGGAGAGAGGGGCAGCCAGTACGGAGGACAGGGAATAGATAGGGATGAGTCGGGTAAGGGTCCTTCAGGAGGAGACGGGGGGGGGCACGGGGGGGGGAGCTGGAAGAAGGAGGGGTAGGGGAGGAGAAAGGGGGAGAAGGAGCAGAAGAGGGAGAAGGAAAGAGGGAAATGGAGAGGGGTTCATCTCCCCTGGGGTAGGGTAGGGTGAGACGAAGCAACGAGCACCTTCCAGAAAGGTCATTGCCCCTCCATCCCGCGCCGGGGCGGGGGATTCGGAGACCCGTCCGTGCGGCCACCCAGCCCCAACGTGAGCCTCGGGACTCTAGCCCCGTGTTCCCGGCCTGCGCCCCGCGTCCCGCGCCCGGTACCTGCTCGTGCTGGGGAGGCGCCTCCAGCACCCGCGCCGCCTTGCGCACTGCGGCCCCCGCGGCCATGCGTCCGCCGCGGCGCCCGCCCTCGGCCGCGCGGTCCCTGGCGCCGCGCGGGCGGGGGAGGGTCTCCGGGAGGACGCGGGGCGGTGGGGGGGGGGGCCCTGCCCTGCCCCGCGCGCGCCGGGGGCGAGCTGTGCCTGCGGCGGCCCCTCCCCGGGTCCTGCGGTAGCGCGCGCAGCCCGCCTCCGGGAGCACCGCCCCGCCGCCCCGCGCCCGCGCCCGCGCCGCCGCCGCCCGCAGAGGCGGGGGCTCCGGATCCTCCTCCCTGTCGGTGCCCAGGAGAGCCTTTGGGGATCTTTCCCTCTGCAGTCACGCACTGGTCGGCCACCGTGGCTCTTACCGCGTCCTGCGCCTGGCTCCTGCCGGCGGTTTTGTCCCAGGCGGCAGCGCCGGAGAGCCGCTCAGAAGTAAGGTGGGAAGACATGTGGGGAGTACCGAGAGTGAGAAATGGAGAGGAGAGAGGGAGCGAGGGGTCGTTTTCTCTTGGCTCTTTCCTTCAGAAGCCTTTATCCGAAGACGGGAGTTCAGGTGGCTGTCCAAAACGGGGACACTGAACTTTGGTTTCATCTCCAGTTGCGTTCCTGTTCCTGGGCCCAGCGCCCCTCCTTCCCTGTTGTCTGCAGTTTTAATAATCTGGACAGGTCCCTGATGAAGTCACACTTGGCCCCTCCAAAGATGACAAAGGGGAGAAACCCTGTGGGGAGAGAAGGCAGACCCTCTAGGCCTCTGTGCTGCTCTGTGCCTGCACTTCCCCGGGGAAATCACCCACAACTTGCCTTTGTCCCTCCACCTTCAGGGGGCATTCTCCTTCCCCTCAGCTGTAGACCCAGTATGGATTTATGGCAGGGAACAGGCTGGAGCATTTGGGGAAGCCTCTAGAAATGCACTGGTAGGGAAATAGACAAAAATGGAACACGTAAGTAGATAGTCTGACTTACAAAATATGGCTCACTCCCTTCCAGTTTGTGGTGGCTCATAGTTTTCAAAACCTACAAGGAGCTACCAGTGGAGACTGACCAAGAGATGGACACATCCCCGCCCTTGTAGAACTTATGGTCCAGCAGGATGTGGAGACAAACTTTCAGGACAATTAACTGTGGTAAGTGCCTTCCTCTTCCAAGTACTTTACTCTGTTAACTCATTCAGTTTTCACAACAAGGCTACCAGGTAGGTGGTGTTATTATCTCCATTTTACAGGAGACATTGAATCACAGAGAGATGCAGAAGTTTGTCCAAGTTTCAAAGCTGGTAGGTAGGTGGTGCAGTGGGTATGTGCCTTTTGGCTTCAAGGGTGGGCAAGAGACTCAACTATGGTTCAAGTCAGGGGGACCAGTCAGAAAGCTATTGCTGTAGTTCCAGTTAAAGACAGCAACGGCCTTGGTGGTGTATGTGAGTATGTGCAGGGATGGGGTGGAGGAGAGATGGAGAGACGTGGATAGAGCCAAGAGATCTAGGTGATAGAATCTGTAAGACTTACTGATCCTCAAGGATGGCTCTCAGTCATGTGGCTTGAGCAGCTTGGTATTTGGGCAGAGTGCTGAGAGTGGGAATATTGAAAGAGCAGCAGATTTCTGGGAACAAAGATAATGAATTCATTTGGACATGTTGCCTTCCTACCTAGCTCTTGGCCTGTCTTCATGTCCCAATCCGTGGGATTTCACATGAGTTACCGTTTTTTCTCCAGTCTTCGATGTCCTCAAATTCATCTGGATTCCTCTAAATCAGGTACCCCCCCCCCACAAATGTCTGGGTGGAAATAGAATTTCCCTATCCTATAAAATTCTGGCCTATTATTATTATATAAGTTCTGACTCCCTGATATGAGATTCTCTTCCCTGGTTGATTGACACCAGAAATGTCTACATATTTCACTGGCAACACCTGTGAGCACAAAGGGAGTCATCTTCCTTCTGATTTCAGCTCAACAGTCAGCAGGGAATAAAATTCAAAAAGTCCATTTCTTCCCCACTGTTAGTGATGGACTTGCTCTACTCTACTGTATCATACCTGGTTCCTTTCGTGACTCATTTCCAGATATAGAACTAATACCTTGTTTCCCAGAAAGGTAACCATTGCTTTCTGGAGTGGTTTACCCAACCAAAGTTAATTACTTTGCAAATTTGTTTCCCAAATCAAATGCTTGGCAACTGAGTGTCATAAATCCTGGAATAGATCAACAGCCTTCCTGTCGTTTAGTGCTAATCTCTTTAGCATATTAGCCATAGCTCATGCATCCTCCTGTCGTGTCTTGATCTAGAGCCCTGAGATGATTGTAATGATGTAATGAAAGAAATGAGCTAATGTCATAAAGGTGTTTGAAAAACAAGGTGGATTCAAGAATAGTTAGAAAATTAAGTATGCTATTTGGTGCAGGAATAGAGAAATAGACCCATGGAACAGAATAGAAAGCCCCCCAAATAGACACATGGATTTACAGGAAGCTAGTTTTAGGACAGGAGTGACAAATCATCAGGGATACATGGACTATTTAGTAATTAGGCTTGCCATGCCAAAACAAAACAGGTGGTTTAAAAAGCAAAACTTGAAGAAGACAATTTAAACGAATATCATTATCATCTCAAGATGGCGAAAAATATATTAAACAAAACTCAAAAGGAACAAATCATAATGGAAAAGATTGGTAAATTAGTCTATGTTAAAATTTTAAACTTCTGTACAATAAAAAGTTGTCATTAAAAAGAAGCAAGCCAGGACACCTGGTGGCTCAGTCGGTTAAGTGTCTGCCTTGGGCTCAGGTCATGATCCCAGGGTCCTGGGATGGAGTCCCGCATCCGTGCTCCTTGCTCAGCAGGGAACCCGATTCTCCCTCTGCCTCTGCTGCTCCCCCTGCTTGTGCTCGTTCTCTCTCTCTCTGATAAATAAATAAATAAATAAACAAACAAACAAATAAATAAATAAATAAAAATCTTAAAAAAAAAGAAGCAAGCCATGCACCAAGAGAATGTATTTGCATATATCTAGCTGTCAAAGAATTAGTGCTGGGAAAGAACATAACTATTAAAAAATTAATTTTTAAAAAGTGTAAATCAATAGAATGTAGGCAAGGGATATAAACCAATTTTAAGAAATAAAATTATGAGACATTTTGTAATTTTAAGGGAATTAGTTACTGCGTTTATGTATATGTGAGTTAATCTAGAATGCACTTCACAGGAATGCCTTGTGTATGTTAAATTACTTATTGCAAAGTGGCTGCTTTCAGCCTTCCTACCCACTTTCGGACCAACACTCATTAATGTTTCCCTTTTCTGCTGTCCTTTGCAGGACAACCCAACTGCCCTGGGCTGAGGGTGCCACCTAAAGGTAGATCTTACAGAAGTCCTCTCTATTGCCTTACAGATGGTCTTTTTCAAATAACTTTCTTTTTCAAGTTACTCCTTTTCTCTTTTCTCATGTCTTTTTCATATTTACAGATGAAATATTTATATTTGATCCTTAGCCTCACCGCTAGAATGGGTGATTTTGAATGTCTCTAACCAGGTGCGGTATTGATCACATGGAGCAGGGTGGTAGAGGAAGAGAGTCCAAACAACTGTGGGGCCTCCCCTCCTTGAAGGGGATGGCAGTAGTAGAGGCCTTCTAAACGGGGGTGGGGGTGTCAAATTAAAACCATCCAGGCGACGTTAGTATCCGAGAGAGCTTGTCTGATCTCAGAAATCAGTGTGAAAAAGGCACCAAATGTTCTGCACTTCTGTGATCCTTGGGGTCAGGGGCAGACTGGGTTGTAAATGGGAGTAATCATGTCTAAAAGGAGAGGGACACGGAAGCTAGGTCCTACCGTGGCTGATGAAATGGCTGCATAGAAATACTCCAGCTAACAAACTGTGGAAAGAGCCGAGATGCCCTTCAACAGATGAATGGATAAAGAAGATATGGTCCATATATACAATGGAATATTACTCAGCCATCAGAAAGGATGAATACTCAACTTTTACATCAACATGGAGGGGACTGGAGGAGATTATGCTAGGTGAAATAAGTCAAGCAGAGAAAGTCAATTATCATATGGTTTCACTTATTTGTGGAACATAAGGAATAGCATGGAGGACATTAGGAGAAGGAAGGGAAAAATTGCGGGGGGGAATTGAAGGGAGAAATGAACCATGAGAGACTATGGACTCTGAGAAACAAACAGGGTTTTAGAGGGGAGGAGTGAGGGGGGATTGGTTAGCCCGGTGATGGGTATTAAGGAGGGCACGTACTGCATGGAGCACTGGGTGTTATACGAAAACAGTGGATCGTGGATCACCTCATCAAAAACCAATGATGTATGGTGACTAACATAACATAATAAAATAAAAAAAATAATAACATAAAATACAATTAAAAAATAAAAAGAAAGAAATACTCTGGCTAACTTTTTCAGTCCTGCTACCCCGCCCCCCGCGTGCTAGATTGGTCTTCAGGTGCAGATGCTAGCCTCTTAAAATTCGTAGAAATCGTGCAAGCTAGTCTGATTCCCAACTGCCGGGGGTCCTGACTACCGTCCCATTGTTCCCTGGCCTCTCAGCCTCACTGAATAGACCTTTTCATCCTCCATTCATTAAATCTACCTGTGCTTAAAGACTACCACTCAAGACAAATGAAAGATACTCAACTTTATTGTTTATTTCATTCTTTTTTTAAGACTTATTTATTTATAAGAAAGAGAGAGCGAGCGAGCACATGCACACATGAGTCGGGAGGGGAAGAGGGAGAGAGAGGGAGAATCCCAAACAAACTCCCCATTGAGTGGGGACCCGAGATGGGGCTTGATCTCACCACCCATGAGATCATGACCTGAGCTGAAATCACGAGCTGGACGCCTAACTGACTGAACCACCCAGCACCCCTGTTGATCTCATTCTTCAGTTATTAGTATTGTAATATTATTGACCTCTACTCTTTTTCGGGCTAAAATGTACAGAGAGTAGCTATATTATGATTACATGAGTTTTGTGAGCTGGCGTATGGCCCTAATCACCATTTACAGCGTTGCTTCTTTGGGAAAGTGCATTTTGCCTTTCAAACCACAGCCTTCCAAATGCATATTTGGAACACAATCCATCTGTGAGCTGGGAACCCTCTGTATTAATGTCTGTTGGCCCAGGGCAGCCCCACAACCAAATGACATGTGGTTTAAGGTTCATGTAACAGCCGGTTCATTTAAATAATGTTAGCTGGAGCTCAGTCCAGGTTCTCAGGTTTCTGGTTAAATTGGAATAGGGGAGGCAGCAGAATGACTGTGTTCGAACAGCATGTGTGGGGCGCCCCACTCGCTGTAGAGAGATGGCACATTCCTGCTTTTCATTATTTTCCCTTTAGGTTTCAGGACTGAGCCTCTTCTGAGGGCAAGCTTTAAAGTTCTGTTGAACAATTGATCCTGAAAAAGAACTGCTTTTAAAAACCAACTATACTTCCCAGCTTGGAAGTTCAGCTAGGGTCATTCTCGTTTATTGAGTTCAGGGGCCCTCTCAGTGGGAGGGAAAACCGCATTTAAAGTCCTTGATGGGGCTCCTTGCCCTCCCCTCTCCTTGTTTTCCTTTCCTGGCGTCTCTTTGAAGAAGTCTAATCTTTAGTAAGTTAGAAGCCGGACAGCTTGTGCCAGGCAAGCCAGTCTCTACTGCGCTAACTATAAAAAGGGTTAACATTTATGAAACACCCACAGTGTGCCAGGCACTGGCCTAGCACGCCATGTATCTGGTGTCATCTCAGCCTCTGAATAAGCCCCAGTGACAGGTATCACTGTCCACGTTTTACAGATGAAGACATTAAGTTAGGAGAAATGAATTGCTTTATCTAAGAATGTATAGCAGCAAGCACTGCTCTATTGGCCCCCCAATCACTGGGTTGGGTGGGAGGCTTTACCGGGGCTGACCCCAGGAAACTCCGTCCTGGTGTGGAAGTTGTATTTGTCATTTCTAGTTGAGACCAAGGACCTGCCATCCCACTTCCCACACCTCAGGTTAATTGCCAAGACCGCAACACAACTTTGTTCTGCGAAAGTCACCTTCTCGTGGAAGAAAAATACTAATGTTCCTGTGTTTCTCTTGACTTTAGGTATTTGTCCTACATGGGGGCTTGAAACAAGATCAGTCATAGAAGCAATGACAAGAGGACACAGTTATTTTTTGCTGGAGTATAAAACCTCCCAGTGAGCACTCCTGGTTTTACTACCCTCCCTGCCCGTGGTAAGAGCTACAGCTTTTTCAAGTGCCTGCTAAGGCCAGCTACTTTTTTTGTATTTAATCCTCAAACCACCCTCCAAGGTAGGTGTACTATTATTATCTTCATTCTATAATTAAGGACAAATAAGGTCACTTCTGAGCCATGATCTCTGCTTTTAATGCCCTTTTCTTTTCTCACTTTAATCTGCAGAAGTCGTCCCACCCCACCCCATCTAAGAGCCTGACCGGCTCTGTTCTCCCCCCAGACTCTCCCAGATCCCCAGTGGGAATACATTTCTTTCAACCCTATGCTCCACAGCTTTTGCATTTGCCTCTATTCCACACTGCCTTGTGTTCTACGTGCTGGTATGAGCCACCAGTTGCAATTATGGGGAGAGCAGAGACTCTGTTCTAGTCATCTTTTACCCTACCACTGTATCTAGCACAATGCCTGGCCTGGGGCCAGATTGAATTGGTGGTGCAGTCACATTTCCAGGTGATGCTGCCTGTGCCCCAGGCCTCTTCCTGGCTTATGGAAGGAGAGTGAGGGCAGGTGGATTCCCTTAGCCTATTGCCTACAGATGTCCCTCCGGGAAGGAGGGGCTGTTGTCACTGTGGCCACAGCCTTTTGCTGTCTACCCGTAACAGGATCACTGAGACCTCTGCACATTAATATGGATATAAACTTAAAATACAAAAAGAGGCCTAAATTGTGCCCTTAATATAATTCCATGCAGTCCAGATGTGCATCTACTACTATTTATTTTATAATGTGTCATTGTTAATCAGAACGGGGATCCACTTTTGCCAACACTTAGAGATGCTGAGATGTGGTTGGGAGAAGGAAAGCAGTGTAAAGGGTAAGGCCTGAGTCTGCTCCCTTCTACCTGTTATCTTATTCTTGTACTGAATGAACATAAATTTTCGTGTCTAGCCACATAACTGTTAAGAATATGTACCACACAAGAGTGTTGGAGATGAGTTGCTTTTTCCAATTTATTCTATAAATGCAGTAATCCTGACACTTTATATAAATAGTTGAAATAGTGCATGCATGGAAATAAAACACATATTTACTTTTTTTTAGAATATCAGCAAAATGGAATATCCGTGTTTTGGGTTGTTTGTTGTTGATTTCACTTTTTCTTTGCAATTATTCCAAGTTATCAAATGGTTATAAACAAAAATTTTGTGTTGGGCATGTTGTCTAATGACTTTAAAATTTAATATTTTGGGACATCTGGGGGGGCGTGGTCGGCTAAGCATCCGACTCTTGGCTTTGGCTCAGGTCGTGATCTCAGGTTTGTAAGATAGAGCCCTGTGTCAGGCTCCGTGCTCAAGTCAGGGTCTGCTTAAGATTCTTTCTCCCTCTCCCTCTGCCCCGTCTGCTTGTGCTCTCTTTCTCTCTCCAAATAAATAAATCTTAAAAAAATAATAAAATTTAATATTTTGGCATAAAGTTATTTATTTATTTATTTATTTATTTTTAAAGATTTTATTTATTTATTTGACAGAGAGAGAGATAGCAAGAGCAGGAACACAAGCAGGGGGAATGGGAGAGGGAGAAGCAGGCTTCCTGCCGGCAGGGAGCCCGATGCGGGACTCGATCCCAGGACCCCGGGATCATGACCTGAGCCGAAGGCAGACACTTAACGACTGAGCCACCCAGGCGCCCCTAAAGTTATATATGTTTAATTTGTACACTAAACACATTTTGCTGGGTCTCAAAAGAAGGAACATTTTAGAAGTCATCCTGGATACAGTAGTTAGAGGGTAATTTAGGGAATAACTAGACTTTACTAGTTTAAGATATTCCTGAATCTTACAACTATCCATCCAAGTGGCCATAGTTTTCGGGATGACTTTAAGTGAACAACTCGAAGTTTTATCCTGTTAGAAACATGGAGAAGTACACTGTGTGGTTTCAGTTCACTGTGAGACTTGAGTTGGGGTACTGTCTGTACTACGAGCTCTCTAGAGTTTTTGGGAGAGAGGGCCTTAATTTTTTCCCCTTAGTTGCTATTATGTTCATATTTGAAGTATACATTTAAGGCTTTATTAATAGTGAAATGCAAATGAAAAATCTCTTGGTAGTATGTCATTCAAGTGAAGAATCATCAAAGAGAATAGTCAGAGCTGGTAACTTAAGCATGAAAAACCTGATCATTTACTGGGCTTGGGGTAGGTTAATCCTCTTTGCTTTCTAAATGGCCTGAGGACTGGAAGGGACACCAGCCCATGAAGAACACCACTGGTAAGAGGATTCATCAAAGGGAGATGACGTCGTGGAAGGTGAAGTTAAATTTGGTTCAACATGGGTTGTTTTTGAGGCATCTCTAGGCCATACAGGCAGAGCTGTCCACAGTTAGAGACAAACTGACTCGAGAAGAAAAGGTGAAAGAGAGATTTGGTGTCTGACAATGGTGAATTCTAGAGGAGTGAGTAACCGTTTCCAGAAAGCCTGTAATGTGAGAAAGGAAGGAGGTCCAGGAATATAGTTGGCAATTAAGACAACAGGATTTATAATCAAACAAATTTGGCTTCAAGTCTTAATTATAACCCATTCATGTGTCACCTTAAGCCTTGGGACTTGAGATATAATTCACATACCATACAATTCAGCATGAATCAAAGCGTATGATTCAGTGGTTCTTAGTATATTCACAAAACAGTGCAACTACCACTGCTATCTAATTCCAGAACATTTTCATCCCCCCAAAAAGAAACTCGTATTCATTAGTAGTCACTCCCCATTTCCTGCTTCCTTCATCCCCTAGCAACCACTTATTTCTTTGTGTAGATTTGCTTGTTGTAGATGTTTCATATAAATGGAATCATACAGTACGTGGGCCTTTGTGTCTGGCTTCTTTCCCTTAGTGTAACGTTTTCGGGGTTGATCTATGTTGTACTATGTATCGGTACTTCATTCCTTATTATGACTGAATAATACTCTTAGAGATGGTTATACCACATTTTGTCCATCTCCTCATCAATTGATGGACTTTTGGGTTGTTTCTACTTTTTTGCCTATTATGAATAATGCTGCTATGGAAGTTCATATAAAAATATTTTTGTGGATATATGTTCTCAATTCTCTTTGAGTATATATTTAGGAGTACAGCTGCTGGGTCATATGGTAACCCTATGTTGAAGATTTGAGGCACTGCCAAACTGTTTTCCGAATTAGCTATACCATTTCACAACCCCACCAGCAATGTATGAGGGTTCTGGTTTTTCCACATCTTTACTGACAGTTGTCAGTATCTGACTAGTTGATTGTAGCCATTCTAGTTGGTGTGAAGTGGTATCTCATTGTGATTTTGATTTATATTCCCTAATGACTAATAATGTTGAACATCTTTTCACGTGATTATTGGCCATTTGTATATCTTCTTTGGAGAAATGTCTAGATCCTTTGCCCATTTTAAAATTGGGTCACTAGTCTTCTTATTGTTGAGTTTTAAGAGTTCTTTGTATATTCTGGATACCAGTTCTTTATCAGCTATATGATTTGCAAAGATTTCCTCCCATTCTGTGGATTTTCTTTTTATTTATTTCTTGTTGGTATGTTTTGAAGCACAAGAGTCCTAAATGTATCTATTTTTTCTTTTGTATGTGTGCTTTTGGTATCATAGCTAAAAAAACCATCACCTAATCTTAGGCAGTAGAGATTTGTTGCTATGTTTTTTTTTTTCCTAAGAGTTTTATAGTTTTAGTTCTTACATTGAGGTCTTTAATCTATTTTGAGTTAATTTTTGTATGTGGTGTGAGGTAGAGGTCCAGCTTCATTCTTTCGTATGTCGATATCTAGTTGTCCCGGCATCATTTGTTGAAAAGACTGTTCTTTCGCCATTGAATTGTTATCTTGGCCACCCTTGTTATAAATCAATTGCATAAATATAATGGTTTATTTCTGGACTCTCAATTCTATTCCTTTGATTGGTGTGTCTGTCTATCCTTGTGCTGGTACTACACTGTTCTTGATTACTGTAGCTTTGTATTACGTTTTGAAAATGGGAAGTGAAAATCTTCCAACTGTGTTTTTATTTCCCAAGATTATCTTAGCTATTTTTAGTGCCTTGTATTTTCATAAGAATTTTAGAGTTAGCTTGTCAATTTCTGTAAAAAAGACAGCTGGAATATTGATAGGGATTGTATTGAATCTATAAACCAATTTGGGGGTAATATTGCCTTTTTTTTGGTTAGATTATTTATTTATTTATTTATTTATTTATTTATTTATTTATTTATTTATTTGACAGAGAGAGAGACAGCGAGAGAGGGAACACAAGGAGGGGGAGCAGAGAGGGAGAAGCAGGCTACCCGCTGAGAAGGGAGCCTGACTCAGGGCTCGATCCCAGGACTCGGGGATCATGACCTGATCCGAAGGCAGACGCTTAACAACTGAGCTACCCAGGTGCCCCAGTATTGCCATATTAATAATATTAAGTCTTCCAATTCATGAACATGGGATTTTTAAAATTTAGTTAGTTCTTATCTTCTTTCAGTGATGTTTTGTAACTTTCAGTATACATATCTTACACTGCATCTGTTAAATTTATTCCTAAGTATTTTATTTTTTTAATTCTAAATGGAATCATTGTCTTAATTTTATTTTTTAATTTGTTCATTGCTAGAGCATAGAAATAGTTTATTTTGTATGTTGATCTTGGATCCTGTAGTCATGCTGAACTCATTTTTTAGTTCTAATAGTTTTTTAGTGGATTCCTTAGGATTTTCTATGTATAGGATCATGTCATCTATAAATAGAGGTAGTTGCTTACTTCTTCCTTTCCAATCTGGATTCTTATGCTCTCTCTCCTTTTCTGTCTCTCCCCTCCTCTCCCTTCCCCACCTTCCCATTCCCTCCTTTCCTGTTTCCTTCCCTCCCTTTTCCCCTTTCCTCCATTCTCCCCTCCTCCCTCCTTCACTTCCCTCCTTTCTTCACTCTCCCCCCCCCAACCACTTTTTTCCTTAGGCTTTCTCAAATACTTTTCTGTATCTATTGATATGATCATGTGGTTTTTGTGCTTTGTTCTATTAATATAGTGTTTTACATAGACTGATTTTCATATGTTAAACTGTGCCAGCATTCCTGGGAT